TGATATAAATACGAGAAAAAGGAGAAAACTAATTCAAGAAACAAGAACAAAAAGCAGAATAAGCAAGGATTATAGAAAAGTAGTAGGGCATAGCCTAATGTCTTTGCTTCACTTATACAAAAATGGGTGTTTGTTTTCATATTGAGATCAAAACAGGCATCACGGTTCATGCATAAAAAGACACCAACAGACTAAACCGTCCATCCTCTGATCCTATATAGTATACATGTATAGATGCATAAAAGGAGAACAAGTAGAATAGAATAAACTGCTATACCTTTTCTCGATTTCTTTATAATTCTTCTGCAATTTTTCTTGTTTTTCCATAAGTACTTTATTTCTCTGGCAACAAAAAACGAGTTTATTCCATTTAGTCATCCACTGAATAGGTTGGAAAGGCAAAATCAATCCAGAGGTTTGTGTGTGCCAAATTCCGAGAGCAAGAAATAACCATTTTGAATCTTTTGAGGTTAATGTTCAAAGGACTTACTTCTGTAACGGCCTTCTTCTCCTCCTCACATTTTTCAATTCTGGACTGCAATTCATGTGTTTTTGAAAATATGGCCTTCTCCACTGCTTTGGATATTGTGCTCTCCTTTCCACTTCTCTCCTCGGTTAGTAGAGATTCATAATGCTGAAAGATAACATAGGCGAAACCAAGCTTTGTTTATTAGTGGTTTAATATTGGTGCAATGATGCATGACAATCACCCACTATCGCTAACTTCCTTCGAATGGTTATTATATGTCAAAGGGACGAGTAAATAACAAAATACACATAAATCAAGAGAGGTCTGGGCTTCACCTGTCTTTGAGTCTCCAGCTGGCTGGCAAGTAGAAGGTTATACTCATCCACAACCTACGGTTTATATAAGGGGAAACAAGATCACAAACTAACCTCTCAAGCAAAAGGGAAGAAATAATAATAATAAAGAAAAATGTAGAATGTAACATACTAGATAAACTAAGTACTACCAGGTTTGTAAGATCTGTAAATCGAAGAGTCTATACCAAACACTTCTAAACCTTCTATGCAACGTCAACAAGTAGAACAATGCATAAAATCAAAGACGTTACCGCTTCGACTTTGCTGTTATAAAGCGCCCCACTGAGACCTGGATCCTCATCATACCCAAATATACCACATTCACCGTCAGATGCAGCACAGGAAGAATTCATTGTAGCTGGCTTGCCATCAGTTTTTGATTGATTCAGTCGGTGAACATATTTGTCCCCTACATAATCCCAGATTTGCTGTGTTTCTAATTCAAGAGAATAATGATGCTGTGTATCACTCCAATGTCTAATGGCATGTTTTTCTTCATACCTATGTTAACAAGATCATTCAAATCTATGTCAATATCCTGGAGGTGAATGGGTATTAATGGATTATAATGAAAAAAAAAAAATGTCCAACAATATTTGTTGAGAATCAGAGCACTGCTCCAAATTAATAGTTCCTAAAGAATAAGAACTCTAACAAACATGCATAAAGCATAAGAATAAGACAGAACTATTACCTTCCACATCCAACAAAGCCACAAATCAAACAGACCCAAAGGTTCTTTGGTGTTCCACATACAGAACAGGTTGGTCTTTCATCCTGCTGCTGACAAAGTCGACAGACCTGTCAAATAAAACTGCATGATGAAGGGGAAAAGTAAAGATATGATATTCGGCACGGAATACACATCAGATAAATATGGCAGGAATGATCAACTAAAACAGACAAAATTAGGAGCAAACCCCTACCCACTCCCCCAGCCCCCCTCTCTCTTACATATTTCCATTACAATAGACAAGGTTCAAGTTCAAGCCACCCTAGGAATATGAGGGGGGAGAAAACAGAAACTGCTCAACTTTCATGCCAGCTGGTCTTCTTAGTTCAAGAAAAGATTTAAAATAGCAGGAAAAAATAATAAACCTCTGGCCTTCCTAATAATAACTCATGTAGAACCAGCAATTATAGTGCTAAAGATAAAGTACCCCTTAACATCTATTTGCAAACTAACCTGGCATGAAGAGTAGGTCCATTTTGAAACACATGAACAATGAAATGAATGGTCACAAAGTGTACTCTGTATTCCACTTGTGTCTTGGTCCAATCTTTCTGTAATATTTAAGACAATAATGATAAATTGTTGTTGTAATCAGAAAACTATATATGGAAAGGGATAAGTAAATATTACTAGAATTTCCCAATTCACATATTTATAACAAAATCCGAGTCTACTGAGTACTGACCAAGACAAACTGGACAAGTGGGCAATTCAGTATAACCCGGTGGAGGTATGCTGGCTATTTCTGCTGATTCTGCGCATTCCACTGATTGAGTAAAATAAATGTGGCAAACCTCACCCTGGATAATCAAATCAACAATCAATACTAGCCAAGAATAAATTGATAGAATCACAAACAATCTTTAAGAGAAGTAAATACCTCAGTGGGCTTAAACCTTTTACCATTATAACTACAATAGAATCCATCCGCAGCCAATTGACTCACCAATGTTATCAACACACTATATCTATCTTCCATGACATCATTCCTGCATATATACTAAGTAACCATCAGTGCACCTATGTGTATTTCACAAGCAAACATTCCTGAATCATACTCCAAAGCTATGAAGGTCATATAAATAGATATTAAGCTTAATGCGCTCAAGAACTAACAAATGTACAACACACTAATAAACATTAGAATGTGCACTCTTTGCTTCAAATAAGCATGCTTTCATCAAATTATACAAGTGATCATTTTCATTTTCTCAAACCGTGAAACAGTGTATTCAAGAAACGTGTAATTAAGTGAGCATAACCGCAAATTCAGCAAGAAAGAGTTGACAAATGCCCTCAAGAACTAACAAATGTACAACACATAAATAAGCATTAGAATGTGCACTGTTTTCTTCATATAAGTGATCATTTCCATTTTCTCAAATTATACAAGTGATCATTTTCATTTTCTCAAGCTTGAAATAGTGTATTCAATAATTGTGTGTATAAGTGAGCATAATCGCAAATTCAGCAAGACAGAGTTGACTATACCACGGGGAAACGCACTACCTGAGAAAAAGGATTCCTGTGAAGTGTTCGACGTGGGAGGCGCAGAAGAGGAGGAAGTCATCGGCCGAAAGATAATTGGGGACAGCAACAACAAAGAGAGTGGTGGTGCGGGCGATCGGATTGGCTATACCGGTGAGGGCGGAGGCGTAGGTGGTGGATGTGGAGGGAGGAAGGTGGCGGAAGAGGTGCGCGACGCCCCGCTGCTCTGCAGGGTTCAGGTTGGCGATAGCATCAGGGGCGTCGGAGAAGCGGACGGCGGAGGTGGTGGCGGTGGGAAGCGGCTGTGGGAAGTCGACGGAGTGGATTTGGAGGGCGAACATGGTTGATTGTGGTAAGATTCGATCATTCGATGTGAAATATGGAGCATTCGGTAAATCAGGAGATTTTTATTTCGAGGCTCGAGGGGAGATGTGGATATGAAATTTAATAAGTCAAAGTTCCATTGCTCTACGCATAAAAACAAATAAAATATTAGAAATAAAATGGCCAAATACAGCAATCAACTTTTACACTATTGTATTGCTTATATTTTTTATGAGCTATGCGCAAAAATAAATGTCTAATATTAGTATTTGATATTAAAATTTTAGATTTATTTAGATTTTAGATATTTATATTATTTGAGGTGTTTGGTAATATGAAGTAGTAGTTAGCTGATTGAGTTAATGAAATTGACTATTTAATAGCATTAGCTGATTGTATAAATATGTTTGGTAAATTAGATGTTAGCTGATAGTTGATTAACAAAATGATTTTATCAAAAAGTTGTTTTGAGTAGCTTTTTAAAATTTAGCATTTTGGAGCAATAAGTTGTTACAAAAAAAGCTAATTATCAAACACTTATTATAAAACATCTAAGTCAAACATCTAATAGTAGTCAAATAAGCCAAAATTAACTGATAAGCTAACTATGTTACCAAACAAGGCCTTGTATAATACGGAGTAATAATGTAAACTATTTTTATAGATTTGATATTTATATTTTAGGAAATAACTTATATAGTACTCTAATATATAATGTATATATATTATTAGCATTGAAGAAGATAAGAAAGTATATGGTGGATACATGTACATAGTAACAATAGTAAAAAAGTTAAACGAAGTTATAACGGTGGAATATTTTTGACCAAAATATTGTATAGTGCAACTCTTTAAAAAAATAACAGAAAAAATGGATATAAATGAAGGGTATAACCTTCATTCACACTTATTAGTTTTTATTTAGATACAATTAGCATTGTTTAAAGGTTACTTAAATTTGATGCATGCAAGTAATGGAGAGTATTTAGCAGCGAAGAACTGTCATTACGTTGCATGAATGATCCTCACCTAGCGGAAGCCCTTGCAATTAAAAATGCACTTTCATGAATTGTGGAAAGAGGTTGGCAGAATATTGTTGTTGAATTTGACTACCAAATGATTTGTAAAACACCCCGACTCTTCTCGGGACTTCTCTAATGCAAGTTGTGTTATTAAAGAGTGTCGTGCTTTTAAAAGACACTTTGAATCAGTGTCCATTCGATATAATTACTGCATCTGGCCTCTCAACAAGAGCGTCAAGCCAAGATCCTAACTCTACCACAAATGTTAATTCTTGAATAGAGGTTTGTCCCAACTTAATACCACTCAATAATCTCCTATGAAGTCAATATAAAATCGTATCACTTAACTTCAAAACTCAACACTAAAGTGTACTTCTAAAACATAACTTATTGGCTAACACCTATCTTGTGCTTTCTACCAAAACCGCCATTAGCTTACTATTATTCACACATGCACAAAGGCAGTTATATAATTGCAAGTAGGTTGCACGAACTACACACGGCCACTGTATGACAAACGTTTTGTTTAAACTGTAAGGAAGAAATCTTCTCTGTTGTACTTGATTTCATATTTTGTTTTCCAGTAATAGCATAAATGATAGGTCTAATTGAAAGGATACTTGAAGCTAGGCACTTACATTCTTTAATTTGCTGAAGTTTAATTTGTCAAAAAACTAATGTTACCAAAAACAAACAAGAGCATACGCTTAATGGGAGCTATATATAATGAGAACATGTTGCTATCGACCTTCTATCTCTGAAATTGTGACCTCATTGACAGAGCAGGCTTTTGGATTATTACCTACATTCTCACATTTTAAGCCAATAATAGTAGAGAAACCAGGTTGTTTAGGGGTAGGTAAGACTACTGATTCCGTGCCAAGCATAGATACCACATCTGACATGTTTGGCCTATCGGTTGCACTTTCTTGAACACATAGCAAACCTACTTGGATACATCTTGGTGCTTCATTTGTTGAGACCATTTTGTCCATTGTTGGATCTATCAAGTCTGAAATTCTTCCTTCTATCCACAAATCCCAAGCCTAACAATCATTCATAGGTACAGTTATATATAGTTAGTTATTGCTCAAAGCAATAAATTATAAAAATAAAAATGTTAGGAGTAATTCAAATAAACAAACCAATAAATAGATGCACAAATACTTATTCAACTCAAATATTAAATACTCACATAACCAAGTAAATTTGAAACTCGATTGGGATTATAGAAGCCATTGTTCCTCTTTCCACTTACAATCTCTAAGATCATGACTCCAAAGCTAAAAACATCAGACTTCTCAGAGAAAAGACCATCCATGGCATATTCAGGAGACATGTAACCACTGTTTCACCAGCAAATTATTGTAAATGTCAAACAACAACCAAATATAAATAGAGAGATCCAAAAATATATTTGTTGACTTACTAAGTCCCAACAATGACTTTTGTTTTTGCTCGAGAGTCATTATCTTTAAATATCCTGGCTGTTCCAAAATCTGAAATCTTAGGATGCATATGGACATCTAGTAATATGTTACTTGTTTTAAGATCCCTATGAATAATCCTCAACCTTGAATACTTGTGAAGGTACAAAAGCCCTTGAGCAATCACATCCATTATGCAGAAACGTTGTCTCCAATCAAGACAAACTTTCTTTCTTGCATCTATGTAAAGTCAATGATCATAAACAGAATTAATGGAACCAAGCAAGAGATGAATATAGGGTGAGTGGAAACAAATTAATCATACTAACCGAAAAGAATTGAATCTAAACTTTTATTTGGTAGGTACTCGTATATTAATATCCTTTCATCTCCTTGAGTGCAACAACCTAGGAGTCTAACAAGATTCCTGTGTTGTAATTTTGAAATCAATAGAACCTCATTCTTAAATTGTTGAATTCCTTGTCCAGACATTTTTGAGAGCCTCTTTGCTACAATTTCTTGACCGTTGGTCAATATTCCCTGAATAGATTAACAGCTTATATTCCAAGGACTATGAAATAGATAAAAATTCAAATCAAACACAATTTAACATATGCACTTTACATTAAAATATTAATAGAGAAAGCTATTAATATTGTTCATTAGAGTAAATATACAGAGTTTTCATTTCATATTAAAATCTACTATTTAATTTGACTCTTGTAACTTAATAAAGTGCAAAAAAGAAGAAAGATGTCAATACAGTTCATATCATCGTACCTTATATACAGGACCAAATCCACCTTGACCAAGTTTATTTTCGTCAGAAAAATAATTGGTAGCCATCTCTATGCTTTTAAAGTTGAAGAAAGGCAATTCCTCATCATCCTCATCAGCAGCAAGTTGTTGATTCGAATGTTGAATTGAGGCTATGTCAACACTCAAAGCTGGTTAGCCTAGTGCCAGAGTTAAGAAACTAAGAAGAGTTGATAGTTTGATATTAAGAGAATATATACCTATGAAGCAACCGCAACATTTTCTTGGATTCATATACCATACTAGAAAAAGCATGGCAAGGATCACCAACAATAATGCTACTGTAAGAGCAACTATGAGTAGTGTTTTCTTGTGGTGTGGATTTCTCTTTGTCAGATCAGCGCCGGGATGGTGAAGTGGAGACAATTTGGTTCGATTTGCTAATTAAGATAGTCCAATGCAGGGCAATTGTGTCAGTATGCTAGCTAGCTTAGTATTGCTAATTATATATATATGCTCGCAGCCTCACACAGGTGTTAGGATCGAGCATTTATTACTATGTCAAAAGCTATAACTCACTACACATTTTTTAGAGGTAGAGTACTGGACTTGGTCCTTTACCCGCCTCCGTCCAACAATCCTCCTCACAACACCTGTCAATCTTAACTATATAGTGATACTACTTATATTAGGATTAAGCCCTTATCACTATACCAAAAAGTTATAGCTCATAGGAAGTCATAACTTTATTTTTTTTTATACCGCTACCACATTTTCAAAAGACAAGGTGCTGAACTCCCCATTCACCAGTCTCTGCCCAATAATACCTCTAACCACTAATTGCACAATACATCTGACCGTTAATTGTTGAACTTGACCTTTTATTGGTATCCGCCCAACACACGGTAACTTTAGGTTGAACTACCACTTGAACTAACCCCCGGGCTGCTAATTATATTATTGAAGAGCAAAATAATGTAAAAGAGAGAGTGGGTACGTACTGGGCAGGCATACCTGGTTTTGCATTGCGAATGTAAAGAGCTTCCCCATTATTCACGTAACGATAGGCAGGGGAAGAAGAAAACTTGCATCCGGTACGACCATCATCAGCATTGACAGCAGCATAGGCGTTGCAAGAACAGTTTTTTGCACACATTTCGGTGCAATCACCAATACCAAACGTGGAGTTAAACAAATATTGTTCCCATTCCGTGACACCAGTTGTTAGATTGAACCAGTCTCCATCACTACAATTGGATATTTTGGGTCTTACGCACCCCCCACTGGCATGTGCATAAAGACTAGTCTTATTATTATAACAGTCAAAACCAATGAATTTGAAGCTTTGAAGATCTCCATCAAACCCAATAAATACTTCCCCAGTTGCATGAATACGGATAAAGGTTGCATTCAAATAAAATTGCTCATTCCAAACAAAATAGCTTCCGTTTTGGTTGGAGAAATACCTAATGAGATTATTGAGTTGGATTTGATGAAGGTGAAGAAATGGAAAATTGATGCCATTCCAGACCCCACTGTGCCAATAAACAATCCCTCTTCGCATGAGAACTATCTGCTTAGTATTATTGGGATCAACACCAAAGGTAAAAGCACCGGGAGAAGGGTTTTCCTCGCTGGTCCAAGAAGTCAGAAAACGTTGGTGGTGAGTTTTCAGCCCTGCAAACCAACCCAATTTCATGCCTGGAAGCCAAGTATTAGTGGGGTAATCGAAACTTTGCCACAACCTACGCCCCCGGCCTGGACTTCGCAAAACTAAGTTACCATTATCAAGAAGAGTTGCCGTTGTGTTTGTAACATAAGAAGGTTGTTGATTGTTTACAATGAAATCGTTCCCAGTATATATTAACAACTTGCCTTCTTCTCCCATATATAAATATGGAGAGAAGACATCTCCATCTGTGCCCTGCCAAGCAACCCAAACTGTAATTTGTTCTGAACTGGAATGGAATTGATACCCGGTGAACTGTATACACAAATACCAGGTGAAGGTAGATCCGGGTCGCCCCACGAATTTTAATCTGTATTGTTTATTTGATGACTCCAAGAAATCTCCGTTATATGAACGCAGATATTCCCCAGGAGCAAGTGCATCTTTAGCACTAACATGACCACAGATGAAGAAGACAACAATAATTCCAACCACTAAACTATCATACAACATAATAGTAATTCTTGATACGGGGCCACTCATCATGTGTATTGGTATATATATGATCTATAGATGGTTTAGGATCTGAATAGGCCTAAGCATTTTGTTTAGCACATTTAGTTGCCCGTCAACTATTCACACAACGAAACGGAGACTCCAAAGTTTACTTACTTAGCTTCCATATCATCAGCCTCCATTGTTGATATTAAATGAAATGGGTATAATAAAAGACTTGGGCAGAAGGAAGTCTTCGTCCACTGACGACCATGCACCGAACGCGCTAAAACATTTTAATATTTATGTTTTGATTGACATCTTCATAAATGACATATTTAGCTCTTGGATCAAACATTTATCATGGCCCTCTTTGGTAAAATGGCTGTTAGTTGTTAGTTGATTGTGTTAATTAGAGGGTATAAATAGTTGATAACATTAGTTGATGGTAGAAAAGTGTTTGGTAAATTAGTTATTAGTTGATAGCTGTTTGGTATAATTTCTTTTCTAAAAAAACTAATTGAAAAAGTTGCTTGGAATAGCATTTTGAATTTTAGCTTTTTAGAGTTGTAAAAAGCTAATTAACCAAACATTTATATTGATATTTTAACTAAATCAAACAATTAATAGTGGTCAAATAAGCCAAAATTGACCTATAGACCAATTTTTCACCAAACAGGGCCTATTATATATTCTTACTAAAAGAATCCAACCTAAATTCGCTTCAAGTTATTAAACAATTTCAGAAACTATCTACACGCCGATTAATCAAATTACCAATCAAAGTATGAAAAACAATTAAACAGAAATTAAAGACGCGCAATTTTGATAATGTAGTTCAAAGAAACCTTTTCTATTCTTCTCCCATGAGAAGAAACCTTTTCTATGTTTATGGGGCTACCGGCGTGAACTCAAATACCACTCAATCGATCAAGGGAGTACAAGATACAAGGTTCGAGTTCACCAAGATAGCTATCTAATCCGTAAATTCACAATATGTATTCTTATCTTCTAGGAATTTGGTGATACTGCTTCAACAAAGCTCCAAGTAGATCTATGTTCACTTCCAACACAACTCCATTCTTTTCATTAGGGCGACCCGTCCTGCCAGACTAACCCGCCCGACCCACAACCCGACATGGCCCACGGATATGCGAATCGCAATTTATGCTGTGCAACCGAATGCACCATGCGCATGATGCATTCGATGCAAAACGACGTCGTTTTGGTTTAAAAACGCGCATCCCACTTAAAGAAGAAATCAAGTTCAATTCCCGGCAATAGCATTTTTATATATCCATTTATTCATAACTATATATCCATAAATTCATAACTATATATCCACAAATTCATAACTATATATCCACAGTGAATGAGTGAAGTAAAAATCCACAATGAATGAACTAAATATCCACAATGAATGAATTAAATATCTATAAATTCATAACTATATATCCAGAAATTCGTAACTATATATCCAGAAATTCATAAATATATATCAACAGTGAATGAATGAAGTAAATATCTACAATGAATGAACTAAATATCCACAATGAATGAACTAAATATCCATAAATTCATAACTATATATCCACAAATTCATAACTATATATCTAGAAATTCATAATTATATATCCATAATAATGCTATTGCCGAGAATCGAACCTGAATTTTTTTTTAAGAGGGACGCGCGTTTTTAGTCAAAACGACGTCATTTTGCATCGTATGCACCATGCGCATGGTGCATTCGGTTGCACAGCATAACTATTGTATGCGAATCTGACAAAAAATCGGATTAATGTGATGTAGTTAATTTAAGAGAAAATTGTAAAAAATGTCCCTCTATAGTATGTCAATTATCAATGTCACCCCTGAATTATGAGTGGTGTAAATGTTGCCCCTCAATTATCAAAACGGTGCACATATAGTCCCTCCCGTAACGGACATGTGGTTCCCCGTTAGTGTACGACACCGTTAAGTCGGAGTAAATATGTAATTTAGTTGTTTTTTTCCTTCTTCGATTCGAAGTACCAGCGATGGACAGCGGTGGGGAACCATAGGTCCGTTACGGGAGGAGCTATATGTGCACCATTTTGATAACTGAGGGGCAACATTTACACCACTCATAATTCATGTGCGACATTGATAATTGACATATTATAGAAGAACATTTTTTACAATTTTCCCTTAATTTAAATTTGAGTAGGAGTTGGATATTTGATATCTGACCCGGCCGAATATCCGAACTTGTATATATATATATATATATATATATATATATATATATATATATATGTGTGTGTGTGTGTGTGTGTGTGTGTGTGTGTGTGTGTGTGTGTGTGTGTATATATATATATAGTATGATAGCTAGGGTTTCAAGCATTCTTCATTTTCCTTGGTTTCGCACAGTCGTGAGTCCCTCTCCGACTCTCTCCTTCTCTCCAGTATGCACTCTGCGGACTCTCTACTTCGTCTTCTCCATATCTCAAAGCCTCTCACCAGGGGCAGAGCCAGAAATTTGATTGAGGGGGGGCAAAGAAGTATGGACGGATTCAGAAAGTTTTTCCAGTAAAGGCGAAGCATTAAAACAAAAGAGATAATTTTTAAAAAAAAATTACCTAAGAAATATAGTGTGTGTGTGTGTGTGTGTGTGTTAAATATTTAAAAAGTTACTAAAAACGTGACTATGTTAAAGTCATAGAGGAAGGAGACAAAAAAAATTATAAAAATATGTTGATGCCAAAAAATTCAAACCTTTGACTTTTACTATTACCAATGTGTTTTGCCAACTAATCTAACTCACTTCTTGTTGACATTTAATAATTTTTTATACTAATACTTAACATGTATTATATATATATATATATATATATATATATACAAAGATTATATATGGGGTGAGTTGCCCCTGCCCCTTTAGCTTCGTCCCTGGTTAAGACCATTCTTAATTACGTCAAAGTAAAGGAATGATTACCTTGGATATGGTGAACCTTTGATAGGTTTTTGGCCATACTTTCGCCAAGCCCACTTATCATCAGAAAGCTCCTCAAGTGGTACCTGAAGCGGCTCTCACAGTCTCAACTCTCCTGTAGTCCCCTTTTTCTGTTCTCTCACTCTCTCAACATATTCAATTTTTATTTTAAAACATATTTGTTTAAAATTTTGATAGTTATTTGTTATTGAAATAAATTACGTTACATGCCAACTAACATGTAGTGTGATCGCATCTAGTTACCATTCCAAATTGGTGATCATAAGTTTGAACTCCAGTGGTGGGGACTTAGATTCTTTGGGCTGAAAATGTTTAAGAAAGTATTGAACATATACTACTTTGAAAAGAATCATGAGTATTTCAAAAAAAATAAATAAATCATGTCACATGTATTTTAAAACAAAATTTAAATATGTCAAATTTTAAAATAATGACATATTGAAAGTTTAAATTTCAATCGTTATGATTATGATGATGATTAATGCAACAGAGGGTTCTAAGGGGTTTTTGTGGACATCGGTTTTTAATCAAGAGGACATTAGGAGGGCTTTGAGTGAGATGATCATAATAGATGAGCTCCCGTTTAGGTTTGTTGAAGGCTAAGGGTTCAAGAGATTTGTTCTTGTTGCTTGTCCTAGGTTCAAACCCCTTCTAGGCAAACAATTTCACGAGATATTTATCAAATAATGTTTTTCTAATGATACAACTTTGGAGTTTTTTAAAAGTAAGTTGTTATCTTGGGGTACATCTTATGTTAAGGTTCAGTACAAACACATGAGGTGCATAGCCTATATTATGAACACAGTTGTACAAGATGGATTTAGATTTGTTGATAGTTCTGTCAAAATGGTTAGGGATGCAGTGAGATGGGTTAGGAACTCACCTGCAAAACTGAAAAAGTTTAGGGATTTTGTTGATCTCATTGGAGTGGAAGCTAAATCTGCTTTACATCTTGATATTCCAACAAGATGGAACAACACCTACATTATGCTTAACACTGCAATTCAATACCAAAAAGTGTTTGAAGCATATGAGGAAAATGATGCCTCATTTTCTAGTGACTTAGCTGAATTTCTTCCTTCTTATCTGGATTGGTGTTCTGTGCAAAGCTTAATCATTCTTCTGAAAAGCTTTTATGAGATAATTGTGAAAATATATAATTCTCTTTATGTCACCTCTAATACTCTCTGAGAGTTCTAATGAGTTGCATGTTGGACGATATGGTTCAATCTAAACTGATTGTGAATAGGTAATATGTTTATATGTTTCCTGATTTTTTGATTTTTATTTTTAACTTTTGCATTGTTTATTTGTTTTTAACAAGCAATGATGTCCCAAATGAAAAACAAGTTTGAGAAATATTAGAGGATCCTGAAAAAATGAACTTACTCATTTTTTATGCCAATATTTTGGACCTCAGAGATAATGATGAGTATATGCCTTACTAGTTTGTCCTTCTCTATGGAGAAGAGAAATGCAAATCTTGTTTTGCCAATGTGCAAGCTGCAATGGTTGAGTTGTATAATGACTATGCATCCACCTACTATGTTAGCTCATTGCAATCTGAATCCTCTACTCAATCTACTATAGATTTCCTATTCTCTCCAAAATGGCTAGAGATGTTCTTGCAGTTCCTATATACACAGTTGCCTCTGAAAGTGCATTGAATACAAGTGGAAGGGTATTAGATGGATTTATGAGTTTCTTAACTCCTAAAATTGTGGAAGCTCTACTTTGTGCACAAGATTGGTTGAGATTACCCAATCAACCAATCTCTATTGAGAAAAACTTAGATGGAGTTGAAAGATTAAAAAATGGTACATTTTCTTCCCCTCTTTTTTTTTTCTTATTATATTGTTACTCACTTACTCAATCAAGTTAGATACTCTGTATTCTTTAATGATGTATTTTTATCTCTTGTATTTTGCAGAGTTACTCACTAGAGCTGCTTCTACTCTCCCAACATTGACAACAATTCATATAATATATTTCATATTTTCATTAATATTCCCATGCATTCTGTTACTCATTTTTCATTTATCTTATGTTTGTTTTGGTTCTTGCCTTCTTGGAGGCTAAACAGTCTTTGAGTCGACAAACCAGGCAATTACACTCATACTCAAATACTTCTAAGTGGCTTAGTAACTTTCTCTTTTAAAAATGTCGTTGCCCTTGAGGCTATGTGATGTTTGATTAAGACCTATCTGGTTTTTGAAATTCTGGTAAGAAATACTCAAACACAATATCACAATAACACATAAACTATCAATGAAACCTATGCCTTTCTATAATTCGTATATCACTCTCCCTTGCTTTGCCTTACACACACACACTTACACGCACTTTTTCAAAGTTAATGTTTTGGTTTAAAATAATGTTTTAACCATTAACCTCAAAATTAAAAAAATTAATGTGATTTTTTACAAAATTACAAATTTATAAGAAATTAATAACATTTGAACTTGTATTATTAAAATTTTTTATAAGACTTGTAATATTATTTGATAACTTATAAATGTTATAAAGTGCATTATAGTTTATAAAGTCCATGATAAATTTTGCCCGAGCTTAGATCAGAACCTGAGTTGTGTCTGGGCCGGTTAGAAACCTAGGACATACCTGGGCCGACTGGTTTCAAGCTGGGCTCCAACCTATTTTTTTACAAGACCTGAACTGGCTTTCTATAAGTTAATTTAAATTTGAGCTAAGTCTGACCCAGCCTGATGAAGCTCATACCCGCTTTTTCCGGGCTAATTCAGCGCTAATTTGACATTGAACCAACCCATAACCACCTCTATTGACAAGTGTTTGTTACTTGTAAGAAAATATAATACTTTTAAATAAAAATATAAAAATCACATTTTTTTTTCAAAAGTATTACACTTCCCCATATGTATGGGATCCACCTTAGAAAAATTGAAGTTAAGAATTGGGAAGATAGAGCTAAATGGCTAATCACAAATTCATGAAAACAATATTGTAAATTACTTTTCAATACATACCAAAAAAAAAAAAAAACAAAACAAAAACAAATAAATGCTGTCAGGAGAAAATAAAAATTGTGTCTATACATTAAACTATGAATAACAACACCCTTTCTGTCCTCTACACACAAAGGAACAATGCAGATGCAACATAGCAAAGGGAATTAAATTCTCTGGCTTGCAATCTATAGACGGGTTTGATCATTCAAATGCAAAGTTATCCGGCCACAAATGTAAGAATTCAATAAAACAAGAGCCTGTTATCGTGGCGAATCGAATATTTTGATAAATGTATGCAGATTTTACCCATTCCTTGTCTGGCTTTACCACTCTAAACTTAGATCTAGTCTGCACCACCTCTGATCATTGATCCGTCAACAACTTTGCAGCAACTCTCTTCAAAGATTCACCCGCTTTCATCACATCAGATTCTGAGTGACCAGCGGAGATGAACAACCTAATTCCAACGGGCAAGTTGCATTTATCCAGCATCGATCTCTTGGAAGTCGCAACAAAAACCGAATCTTCCTTCAAAACCTGCAACGCCAATTTTAGTTTTTATTTGATAAACAAGAGCTCGTTTGGAACTGGGAAGACGAGTCTAGAATAAGCAGATGTTGCCATTTGAGTATCAAGAACGATACTTACGCGATCAGCAATATCCTCTAGCACTTGTAGGTCGCTCTTCAAAGAACCGGTGGACTTGTTCAGTTTGAGGAATACGATGGGGGAAAGTGGATCACTCACTAAATCTAGACCCTTTATACCTGATAGACCTGCAGGAGCACAAAAAAAAAATCGTTGTACTTCATAATTCTCGACAGTTCTTGGAACAGGGCTAAGGACAACACAAGAAAATTTGTAAAGCATAGACCTTTGAGCAGTATTTTGATATTTTCCCTCAGTTTTGTAATGAGAGCAGGGTTTTCTTCTATGATATCAATGGCCTTGATTGCAGCACTTGCTAAATACGGAGGCAAAGAAGCAGAAAAGACATAACCAGAACTACTGAGTCGCTGCCACAAGAACCAAAGTATATTAAGATACATGTGCATATACACGCATACATACTTACACGCACGCACAAAGGTAAAGGTGGGGGCAAAAGAGTAAATGTCTTCTTTTGCAGAAAACTTGCAGTTGCATTTTAGCTCACTCATTAGTCATCAGACATTCACACCTGGTGATCAATGACTCTATTACTGCCTGTGCAAAATCCTCCTTCAGTGGCCAATGCATGTCCCATTGCAGCTGTTATGATATCGATCTTTTCAACCTGTAACCGATTCCCATTCAGTATAAGAGCACAAAGATACGATAACTAAAATGAAAAATGTTAACATACCGGAACTCTGTAGTGTTCAGTAAGACCTCTTCCAGAACTGCCAAGTACACCAAAGGAATTGCTCTCATCAAGTAAAACACGGAACTTATATTGTTCTTTAAGTTTTATTATTTCGTCCAATGGAGCAATTTGGCCAGAATTCTGCAGGTAGCAGAAAATAATGTCAAAAGACTTGAAACTAATATGTGCAATGGAATATAAGTAGAAGACACATGAAAGGATAACTTAAAATCTTGCAAAATGAAAGTTTCCGATGCTTTAGTGGGACAAAACTTGTTCCATGTGGTGCCAAAGTGTTGTAATATAAGGTTTCTCAATATAAACACTTAAACAGTTAAACACTTCATACCTGATATACTGCTTCCACAACAATATAGCGCCTGACTTTCTTAGCTCGCTTATTTTCTTGAGTTACTTTCTCCAAACTGTTCCTTAATGACTCCATATTGTTGTGCTTGAAATATATGATTGTACTTCTAGATAGCTGAAGGCCATTTTGTATTCCCCAGTGAACCCCCTCATCCCTGAAAGAGCAAAGACCACTGTGAAATTATCGGTTGAGCAATATATAGATTTCGTGCCAGAAACCCATGACACTCCATTTAAGGACAACTCATCAAAGGAACGTATAAATACAAATGACTGCAATAGGTAAATATTGTTAAGCAAAAAATAGAAAGTGAGACCAGAGACTGCTAAATTCAAAATTTTAACCCACTCCGGGCATCCTATTAAATAAGAAATGGAAGCTACAAAGGTCAAAGCAAAATGCTACAGACCTACTCCTTCTTAATAAGCTTCCCCTAGAAACAGTTCATTAAAAGCTCAAGTTTATTTTGACCCCAAAGGTAATCAACAAGTACAAGCATAGGCATACTCACGCAACAATCACATCTCCCCTTTTGCAGAATGCTGGAATTGCACTGAACATTGTAGAAAGTCCATAAGAGTAGAGTATAGAATCAGGTGTTCCAATAAACTTCGCTATTCTGGACTCACAATCCAGGTGAACATCTGCATAAATGAAGAATTTAAGATGGTCTTACAATCAGACCATGAAGGGGAAAATTGCAATGTACAAGTAGTTGCCGCCACTATGCATTTTAAATCTTACCAATTGTTCCATAAAACCCACGAGGACCACAAGACCCAACACCATACTTTTCCAGTGCTGTAGTACATGTTTCCTGCACCAAAACACAGGTGTGAATGATCCCTACTCAACTAAAAAGCAAGATAAGAAGTAAAGATTGGAAACTTCAAAACAAATTTTCTTACAAGTATCTTTTCATGTCCAACTAAACCAAGGTAATTTGCTGAAGCAAAGTTCACAACTTCTTTACCATTAATTACAGTATGGGGTCCTGCAGCACTGTTCAAAGACAACTTTTAAGGAAGGCATCTGAAGAATATGTACCTTTTAAGAAGCATGGCAACTTAATTATCCAAAAGAAATATATAAAATTTCAAACTTGAATAGTGCAGACGTGAAAAAGTCCATTTTGCACCAATAGTTTTGTTTACATAAATCAGTCGCCCAAGACATAAAAAAAAACATATATTTTCCTCCACAGCTCTATGCTGATCCATGTTCACAATAACAAGAGCAGCAAAGGGCACACTAGAATACATCTCTTCAAAATCTAACAACATGATGGAAGCAAATAATTTGGTGAGAATTTCCACCTTTCCAATACTTGAGGTTCATGTTTCATCTCATCTGTGATTGTAGGAATAAGAGGTTCTGGGACCCATTCATCACATAGCTCATCTATTTCCTAAAATCAACAGCAAGAACATTAATCAGATTGCATGATAGAAAGAAGTCCTGTTGAATTACATTAATATGAAGATAGACATACTTGGAAACGTAAAACGTTGATCCTAGCAGAAGATGATATTACTAATTAACATGAGAAGGGATCTACTTACAACAACTATGTAATTTAACTAACTTTTATGACTCCTTACAGCTATTCATCAATTTTCAGTTACATCAAACAAACTGCCATTAGAAGATATTATATCATTAATATAGTGGATATCTTCTTCAAATATTAGATCATTCCAACACCACCATCTCCGCCCCCCCCCCCCCCCCCCCCCCCCCCCCCCCCCCCCCCGCTCACAAAAAAAAAAAAAAAAAAAAAAAAAAAACAACATCCAGTGTCTGCATTGAGAATAGTGCCAAAAAATACTCCAAATTTTTCTTTTTTTTTTTGCTATTTTGGTGATGTTAAGGATAAATATAAAATAATAAATGTGTGTTCTCAATAACAGTTAAGCATTTAATTCAAAAAAAACATATTTAAATAGGTGACATGTTCTAATATAGAACTTTTGGTACTCTGATGATGTCGAAGTTATAGAACCATGAAGGCAATGCCAAAAAACAGCAAAAGTAATCCACCAAATCATTGCAAAAATATGTTGGGGTAAGTACACTGTTATAAGTGGATCCCCACTCAGTGGAATTCTATGACTGTTGATTTACGTAAAAATTATGCCTACATAAACTAACTAAAAAGATACCCATCTTGAGCCTAAACTCATACTTTTTCAAGGATCATGTTATATTACAGAACAAACCTTCTTTGTCAGTGGTCTTTTGGGTGGTTTATAACTCTTCTGGGACAGAAG